GTTTCAGCTGGCAGGACTGGCCTAGGGATATTTTAAATTGGATTTTAATCAATTTTTAAAATATGAAAAGGCCTATTTAAATATATCTTTTAATTTATTTTAAATTTTGTATATTTGTATTAATTGTTTTGTTTTAACTGGCTGTAAGCCGCCCTGAGTCCACCAGGAGAAGGGCGGGATATAAATACAATAAACTCTATAAACTCTAAACTCAATTAATTCCCTCTCCCGACAATACAGAAGAAATAGAATATGTGATGTATATTGTGATTAAGTTGCGAAAGGCAAAATGGCGACCACACACCCCTTCTGACTGAAGCTTACTGAATAAAGGGACTTGGCCTTATTCCCTTTTGTTAGTTACAGTGCTTTAAAACGAGTCTAGGGGTTGCTTGGAGAAATCCCCTTGAAACCTTGTCCCAACAGAGCCAATTAGCAGATATCAGGTCCAAAACAACCAAAGGAAGAAGCGAGGTGCTTCGAAATGCCGACCACGCCTGATTAGCAGAAAAACAAGATGGCGGCCGTGAGACTCTCCGTCTCCCAAAATGGTGACACCCAGATAAAACTCCCCCAATTCAAGCAATCTGTCCGGACTGTGAAGGGATTTGGCTTGCAAAAGCCCTTTCTCCCCTTCTACAACAATTAGAAAAACTTACGGTTCAGGCGCACAGCCTCCACTGTGATCCGGCTCGGTCTCACCGGCAGATACCTCGTGGCCATGAGGTTAAGGAAACGAGGCCCTCCGGTCGAACCGCGCTCCCGGGAATCCCCGATGACTCAAGCCTCCGTTTCAGCGCTGAACAGCTGATTCGAGGCTAGATCCCACGGCGATTCGGTGTGGCTGAAAACAAAGCCCACAATGGGCCTGCAGACCTAGAGGAGCCAAAAGGCACCTAATCTGTCCCTGGTCCCTTTAAATCAAACTAATTTAGAGGTCAATGAATCACCTGAATTTGGAACGAAATAACTAACTGCAAAATTACTACCAATAACCTAAATCTTTCCTAATTAACTAGCCTAGCTGAGGAGCCAAATAAATTGCGTCCTACTGAGCTGAGACTAAGTCAAGAACTGGGAAGGAACCGCCCAGGGGAGGCGTGGCTAAAGTTCTGACTTAGTCTCAACTGAGCAGGAAGGCTGAGATTACCCACCAGTGGATGCTACATTCATCATGCTGGAGAATGTCCAGGTCTCCGACAAAATAATTCAGTGGGGCAGCCTTGACTTGGCCTTTTAATTTCAACTCACACCAATTCCTCTTATCTTCCCATTCAATCCAATAATTTCTATTATCGGCTTTAGGGAGAGGAGGTGGCAAGAATAGACCATGAAACCAATCTGCGAGTTTGCTCTCTCGCCTGCCTATGCACCACCTCCCCAATGCAGCATGAGGATCCAAGCCATCTCCCCAAAAGTCCTTTGCAGATAATTAAATATATTTCTTTTGGGCCTCTCACTTTTCTGGGAATCACAACACGACTCACCCCCCAAACTCTCTCGCCTTCCCACTGGCTTTCTGTGAACTGCCTGGTATCTTGTCTTGCCATATTGCTTCTCTTCGTTGCCAGTGGCTGTGCCACCGGGAGGCATGGCTTTCCCACGTGGGGTGGTCCTGGTGAAAGGGAAGCGCTTGCAGGTTGTGAGCAGGCCATGGAGATGCTAATGGTGGGGGCGAATCCGTGGGGCTATGCTGGAGACAGCGAGGGGCAGTCTTGTCACCTTGGCCCTGCCCTCTGGGCCCACACAAAGGTGGCGGCAATCGTGCGGGGCCTAGCGTCTTGCCCTGCAGGCTGAGCATGTTCTGAGCTCTTTCTTTTCACCCGGGGTGCCAGGCCTTGTGCGTTTGCCACCTGTGGATAGGGCTGAGGCAACGGGGGCAGCACCTTGCTGCCTCCAGCGTGGCCCCGTGGATTTAGACCAGTGATGATGAAACTTTTAGAGACCGTGTGCCCAAAAACTGCCCCGCCCCTGCTCTGCCCCTGCCCCATCCTGCCGGCAGATTGCCCAGGTGGCCAGCAGTGCCATGGCAGCCACGCCCCTGCCCGCACCTTGCAACATCTGCATGCGACGGGGCATGAGGGCAGAGTCTTGTCCCTGTTGCCCGGCTGCCATGTCCTTGGCTGTGCTGCTCCGTGCAGGCCACACCTGGTAGCAACTCTCCTTGGGGGGGATGCTGAGGGGGGTACGGGGGGAGGCAGGGCTGGGGTGACGGCGTGCGTGCTCACAGAGAGGGCTCTGAGTGCCGCCTCTGGCACGCGTGCCATAGGTTTGCCACCACTGATTTAGACTGACCACCGCAAAGTTGTAGTTCACTGGCCAGCCTGGGGCTAAAGCAATGGGGGCCAGTCCCTTGCTGTCTCCAGTGCAGCCCCGTGCATCACATGTAACCACATCGCGGGCCGAATGTGGCCTGCGGGCCTTGTGTTTGACATGTCTGCCCTACACCATTTCAGACAAATGATTGTCCAGTCTTTTTTTGAAAGCCTCCAGTGATGGAGTACCCATAACTACTGAAGGCAAACTATTCCATCGGTTGATTGCTCTACCATTAGGAAATTTCTCCTTAGTGCTAGGTTGCTTCTCTCCTTGGTTAGTTTCCAATCATAGTTTTTTGTCTTGCCTTTTGGTGCTTTGGAAAATAGTTTAATCACTTGTCTTTGTAGAAGCTGCTCTAATATTGGAATAGTGCTATAATGTCACACCTATTCCTTCTTTTCATTAGACAAGAGATACTCAATTCCTGTAACCATTCTTCGTATGTTTTAGCCTCCAGTCCTTGTTGCTCTTCTCTTGCACTTTTTCCAGAGTCTCAACATCTTTTTCATATTGTGGTGACTGGAACTGGATTCAGTATTCCAAGTATGGTCTGATAAAGGCTTTGTAAAGCAGTACTAGAACTTTAAGTGATTGTCCACAAGGACTCCAAGATCCTTCTCACAATTACTGGCATTAAGCCAAATTTCACCTAGTCTATACATATACAATTGGTTTTTGTTGTCTAAATGTAAAATCTTACTTTTATCTATGTTGAATTTCATTTTGTTAGATAGGGCCCATTATTCAAGTCTGTCAAGATCTTTTTGAATCTTAAGCCTGTCTTCTGGAGTGTTGGCTATTCCTGCCAGTTTATTGTCATCTGCAAATTTCATGAGTTCCCCTTCTATTCTCTCATCTAGATCGTTATGGGCTTAAAACGTAATCTACCCAACTGCTTACTTCTCTCCATTTGGATGTAGTTGCATTGAGGACTACATGTTGAATACAATTAGTCAGCCATTTACAAACTCACCTGGTAGTGGTGCCGTCTATCCCACATTTTGCTAGTTTGCCAAAAGTAGGTTGTGGTCTACTTTATCAAATGCTTTACTAAAATCTAAATATACTATATCCACAGCACTTCACAGATGTATTAATTTGGTCACTTTGTAGAGGAATGAAATAAGATTGTTTGGCATGATCTGTTTTTAATGAACCCATGTTGGCTTCTGGTTATCACCTTGCTTGCTTGTAGGTGTTTGCAGATTTATTGCTTTATTATCTTTTCCAAGATCTTCCCAGGTATTAATGTCAGGATGTCTGTAATTATCTGGATCTGTTTCCCCCACACACACTTTTTTTGAAGATGGGGACCATTATCAGTTCTTTTCCAGTCCTCAGCCACTTCCCCAGTGATCCATTAACTTTGAAATACATGTTTCAATGGTTCTGAAATCACATCTGTCAATTCCTTCAGAACTCTGGAATGTAGTCCATCTGGACCCAGTGATTTGAATCTGTCTAGAGCTAACAGGTATTCTCTTATCTTATTTTTTGCATATTTTAATTTGCATTCCTAAACTGTTATTTATGGTTCTAATAAAGGAAAATATTTGTAGCTCGGTTGACATGAGAGGTCCTCTCTGAGCTTGCTTGTTTTCTTGCAGACAAATATACAAAGATCAAAACACCCATGATTATGGATCTCATAAACCTCTGCTTAACTACATACTTCCAATCTGATGGACATATTTACCAACAAATTAAAGGGATACCTAAGGGATCACCGCTTTCAGGACTTATAGTGGAGGTCATCATGCAATGTCTAGCAGCCATAGCACTTCCACAAATACAACCAAAAATATGTATCAGATATGTAGATGACATCTTCATCATAATAAAAAGAATCAATTAGCGAACACCCACAGAACCATCAATAAATTTTTAAAAGGAATCCATTTTACTAGAGAAGAAGAAAATAACTCGCTACCCTTCCTGGACATCCTGATCAGCAGAGACCACAATGGCAAACTAGAAACGCAAATCTATAGAAAAATCACTTAAATCAACTTGATGCTCCAATATCAAAGCAGCAACCTAACCCCCCAAAAGAGAAGCTGCGTAAGGACTTTATTTAAATGAGTCCAAACACACTGCAGCAACCCAGAACAGCAGAAAAAGGAAATAGAGCATCTATATAACATATTTCAACAAAATGGATATCCACGCAACTTTATCAGAAAGTCCCTGACCACTCAACCCAATACAGCACAACCAACAGAAACCCTAAAAAGAATTACATTGCCATACATCAAGAATCTCAGAAACCACCAGCAGACTACTTGTCAGAGCCCCTCAATTGTATTTGCCTTTAATCCTTCCCTTTTCCCCTACTTCTGCCTATGTATTTTCAGGGCTTGCTGTATTATTGGGGGAGGTGCCTGCAGGGGGAATAGTATCTGCTTCATTCTACTCTGTGCAAGATGCCCTCCCTCTGGTCGAGAGGAATGTGACCTGAAAACATCTGCCTTATCTCCAGACAATAGAACCTGGGACCGAGACCTTGAGAAGCCTGCTAAATCTCCGACTTCTCATAACCTGTGGCACCTGTGGGTTGACTGGATTTCAACCGGATGGTTGGACACTGAATTGCTGCTGTGAATTGCCTTTTTTTCCCCCAAATTTTTATTGATTTTCAAATAAACAAATTACAAATATGGTATACATTAATAAATAAGAAAAAAAAACCCATATTAAATATCTATTCAGAGATGCTCAGCAGCCCCCCGGCCTGCATCCATCCTCTCTTTCACCCTTCCTACCTACTTCCCTTCTCCTCTCTTCTCCTCCTACCTACACCTCTCTCCTCCTTCCTCCTCTCAACTACCCTACGATCCACCTCCTTCCTTTCCTCATCCTTCGGACGCAATTTGGGGGCGCCAGCTGAGCATCTCATCTTCTTCAAATACATTATTTCACTATAACATTTTAATATACCAAAATTTACATTTACATCTTTGATCCCCTCCCCCCTCCCCCCCCTGGACTTCCCAGAACCGAATACAGGGTTATGCACATGTCATCCCAGATCTAAATAAAACTACCCAAACATAATACAATCAAATATTAACATACTTCAACTCTAATAAAAAAAGATCAACTTAAGATAAATATAAAATATGTATAATATAATAAATAAATAAAAACAATATAAAATCTACTCAAAAGCTATATAATATTTATTCACTTCGTACTTTCTCTGAATATAATCTATCCATCTTCTCCAAACCAAAATAAATTTTTCTTGAGATTGATCTTTCAAATATACGGAAATCTTTGCCATTTCTGCAAAATACGACACCTTTAATCTCCAATCATCCANATCATACAATCTTTAACTAATTCTGTTTCAGAATCCAATTCTATTAAAACACTATAAATTCTCCTAATATGAGCTCTACTTTGATCTTTAGTCTGCTTTATCAAATTCACATCCTCCAAAGTTAAACCAAGCTTTTGATCTATATGCCACCTATCTACCAATTGACAATATGAGAACCAGGAATGGAGAATATTATCTCATTTCAAATCTTCCAATAATTTAAATTGCCAATCCT